TTGTACACTTTTCTGAAGTAAATTCCAATTTTATACGAGAACGTTTTGTCTGTGGACGTGGTTTCATCGTTCTGTGAATTTACTAGCTTATGGGTATTCTGGGCTGGCTATCAAAACTAAATCGCTATAAACTAGTAACCGGGCTTGAGTGGGCGAAGAAAGCAATCAGTTTGGATGTACAGTCTTGGACATCATCTGGTTCATCCCAGATTTTCTAATATTTTCAAATCCACACCTGTGATTCCAACGGGATAAGTTATTACGGTGCCATGGTCAGAGGTATTTTGATATATCCTGGAGTGAGATTCACCTGATATGCACAGGCTTCCCGAAGTTTCTTTCTTACGATCATTTTTGCACAAACTATTTCGCGATTTCTAACTGTCTCTTGCTAGAATCACCGACACTATTTTACATCAAGTATCGAGTATCGGGGGCCACAGACGTTGCGGATTTGTGTACGGAATTCGTCAGAAACGGAAAAGCTGACCTAGAATGGATGGTGGAGACTCCAGAAGAAAGTGAAATAAAAACACAAAGAATAATGTCGTGCTTGAAAGAACAGGTATGTCTGTCGACCGACCAACTCACCCTCCTGAATGAATAAGATCTCTCTTTTCCTGAAATGTGCTCATTTTCATGATGTTTCGCACAATCTCAGCGTATGACGGAGTAGCTTTTGAGGAGAATATTCCACGGATCATTATTTAAATGACAGTACAATTGAAGATTAAGCTTTCCAATCATGCGTTTCCTGAATATGTGATGGAATGGGGCGGGTTACAGTTTCTTTGTGGCACAAATATGGACCTTGGTTTGAACAAGTGCCGTTACCAAACAAAATGTCCATATTCGCAAAGGTTCACACTTTACCTCATCACCTGAACTTTGTCCACCGTTTCACTGCCAGAATGTTGCATAATAAATTGGGAAGTAATGTTCTCAAGCCACTTTAAAAGGCATCTCGTGCGTTCTAGTACTTGAGTTTTGCCAAGATAATTACTGCTCATAATTCACCGAAAACTTCGGTGTTCCAGGATGCGCTACAGTTTGTCACCCCATGGCAACATAGGCAGTTATAGTCATTTCTCTTTAAAAAAAAACGTCAAAACAGAGAACGGGAAGACCGGTTCAGTGAAACGTTCATTCGCAATATGAAATGTTGACATGAAACTCGGATGAGTGTCTGTTCGGCGACGTGGTTCGATCAAAATTGCCACGCTGTGTCAGCGTATGTCAGACATGTCAGCGGTTTCGACTCAACTACATAGTCACCTGCTACAAAATCCCCTGCATTGTCTATGGATTTGACACATTTTATTCAAGCTACTTACATCCGAGTCAGAGAAATTCTATGAAGTATATTCGCAACAAAACGGTTGAGTTCGCAATACTGGGGCGATGCTTCCGCTTGGTAAACTTGAAATCTTGTAGGGATTTTGAACCCGGCGCTGTCATGTTTACCGTTGTCCCCTTTTATTAAATCTTGGCACGCCTCTTCTATACCGGCTGCATATTATCATGTTTTCTCAGGAGAGCTTTTCCAATCCGGAGGCACAATGGCTATTAAAATACCGTCTTTTTGAGGTTTGTTCGTCATGGATGAGATCGTTGGACGGTTCCTACATCATTTGGTTGACTTGTGCCCTATGATGTTGACCACAGATTTTTTAATGCAAGCGAAATACCGTGAACCCTAGTCTGTTTAGACGCTTGATAGCCTGATGCGCCTACCAAAACCAGAAAAGCCATTGAACATCCCAATCAGCTAATATGTTGAGCACTGACGCGTGCAGGCGTCTCATGTGCTTCAGAAGATCGTATTTGCAGTACTGGAGATTCTCTGTAGACTATTTGCATTCCGGCGTTGACGAATTTGGCGTCAAACGGCAAATTTATAGAAACTGTTGGAGGATGTTTGTTGCGGTGCTCTTATCTTCCGCCCTAATCAAATCTATTTCGAAAGAATGCTCGAGTTGTTCTGCCATGCCGATGATTGTGGGTGATATGAAGGCGAATTTGGACGAAGTGTACTGTGCTCCGTTAGGAAATGCGCTTATTTGCAAAACAATTCTGCTTTGACAGGAAGCTGATATGAGTCCAGCTGAATCGATCGTTTGTGGTGGGCAACTGAATGCGCCGCACGAAGCCACCTTAATAGCATCACCATATTCGGGCCATCACGATACGTTGTTGTTTACTCATAAAGTTGCTGAAAACTCTCCCTCGGTCCACGACAGGTTTTGCCCTTCTATGGGCTACCGTCAAAACCGAATTCTTGTGCAAACCAGACTACTCGTCGAAATATTCCTACTCTAATTGGCTAGTTTGCTCATGAATATACCTACGAAAACGTCACAAATAGTTGTTCTTGATGTATTGCCTTGCCGTTCTTGGTAGATTTTCTGGTCGAATCGAAATGGCCTGACCAAATGCAGATCGCAGTAGTGGGTAACTATAATCCGGCCTTTTGTCGACAATATTTTCCTGATTTTCTGAGGTTCCCATTTTTGATTCCTAGTGAGAATGAGACAGATTTACACTGCTTCTCAGACTTTCAAAATAGACTGTCTTTACTTACTGAAAGAAATCTCCACTACAAATTCCTGCGTTTTTCATACCATCAGCAGCTGCGCACAGCAGCTAGCCACATTATAGTTGTGTAACAAGCGAGGAGTGTCCGTCACCAAATACATAATCACCAGAAGTTAATATCCATGGTTTTGTGATAACCAAAAACATTTTCGTTCGTCACTGTGTTCTTCTGGATTTGAAAGAATTCAGTTGACATATGGATACCCAAAACATGAAACTCACACGCTACTATCAAATTCACAGAACGACATATCCATGTTGGGACGAAGCCCAATCGGCTGTGATATGTTGAAATAGTGATTGAACGTTTGTTGAACGACCAGTAGCAATTAGCGCTCCTGACATAAACAGGTCTAGTGGACACAGCCACAAGACGGGCGGAAAATCACGCAATACTTTACTGCGCAATGTCAATATTAGAGCCATTTTAAAAACTTTATTGCATCCGTAGGAATTTGTACTCAGAGGTTCAATTTGGCAGAGGATGAAAATATGGTGCACAAACCTCCAAATTACTGACCGTGTTTGAAATCCAGCTTCGGAATCTCAAATAAACAAATCTAAACAGGGGCAACCAGGCGATTGTTTAGCCCTTGTGCTTCCCTCGCGTAATATTGCGCCTGCATACCAAAACGGTGCTGTAGCTGAAATATTACTATTATTATTATGTTCCTAATATTAAAACTGCTATTTCATCACTTCGAAATCCAGAAGCTTGTCTTCAACCGTAATGCTGCAGAAAGTGGACATGAGAATCTGTTAAAATTAACTTGACCGAGATTACATGACAATACAAGCATTTGACAAAAGCATTTTATTTGAGCCGTCTAAACACTGAAGATACGGTCGAGATATTGTCAGCTCGGATAATCAACTGGCTGCTGATCTGTTCGTGAAGCCCAAAAGTCGCATTGCAAATGTTCCAATAGATATTGGCCTCCCGCGATAATAATGCTTACTATGCTGATGACAGTGAAATGTTTGTAAACGTACTGCTGGTAGTTAGTTCCAACACATTGTTGGAAGAACTTTGCACGTATGATCAGTCTTGAAACACGCCGATCTAGATAAACCACCATGCCCCGATTAGCACGGACTTTGTACCTTTGCTAGTGGAAAGTTTTTAGCACTGACACCATATATGCGCAAGGCAAACTTCGATTCACAAGAAGCGCACAGTATGAACTTCCATGCATATGAGGCTACAAGTAACACTGGATACGATGCGCCGTTGTTCGGTTCTCATTGTGCTACTGTTCTGCATCGCCCATGCTATTCGTTTGGAAGCCGACGGATTCCAAAATTGGTCATCCATATTTAACAATAATCCCTCAAAAACTGGGTTATCCTTGCCGCTAGTTCCAACTCCTGGATAAATTATCGACATCAAGTATTTTTCAGTTGGTTTTTCATTGATTTGAGACTAAAAAGTGCTTCTAAAGCCTGAACGAAAGTGCCTTCAAAGTGGTAGTTTGCAGTGATAATACCCCAAACAGCAGTGTCAAACTAGTGGAAGCATTTTAGTGAGCTTGTTCGATTTTTACAATATTCCCTGGTCTTGCGACGATATTCCGCTTTGTGTGGAGTCGTTTTTCCGTACCTATTGAACACATATTTAGATGTGGAACTGTAGATGTAGAAACTGAAATCGTACCAATGGATGTTTTTTGTTGCGTTATTTTAAGTGAAATCACTGCCTGAGAAAAGAATGTATGATTTTGCAGAAAAACAAGAGACATTTTGACAACTGGCTCACTTTCATGTAGTTGCTAATCATCTAAAATTGCCGTGTAGCCTTATCATACTAGAGAAAGCCTCCGCCGTACCGTAGCCGGAGGTGACCTGATCGATAAGCCAGGATTTAGAAATCCCAAAAAAGTCCAGTGACGTTAGGTTTTTACTGGGTAAACGACCGTCAAACCGACTTCTCAAGTACAGTGGCGCGCTATCTAATCGCACCATGGGTTAGCTGCTTGTGGCTAAGCTATTCATCTTGGAAATACTGGTCGGATGATAGCGAACTTGAGTCTCTCTGGAGAATCATGAAATGCGCACTACAGATAGTTTAGGGAAGGGATGAATCAGTTGAACAGTGAAACTGGATGTTTCGACTGGGTTCGGCGTCTGCTACAGAATAAAATATTGATTGAAATAATCCAAAAAATGCCATAAATCTCTCAGCATCAAAGTGTCGGTGGTTTCTATCCTCCTCATCGCAGCCAGATATCTGATTATTTAGCTCAGGTGTCCAAATGCAAGCCACTAATTAAGAGAAACCCACGTGTGTATGTAACAATCAAATTTTTGAGACCAAGATATGCCATCAAAATGCAGTTGAGGGAACCGAGACCGCACCAAATATGGATGATTCTAGACATTCTGCTCGTCTTCTTTAGTCTCTAGGTTTCACTCCGCTTGTTATCCCTTATTCGCCTTTCATTTGTTTTCTCCTTCACTCGGACGTTTACCATGCGTACCAAGTCTTGCGTGAAAACAAAGTTCCAGCGGTGAATATAATTAACTTCGCCTACGACGATATCGCAAACAATCCTAAGTAAATAGCCCGTGCATATATAACACCTGATAGTAGCTAGACTCTAGTAAAGGCGCTTCGTTGTTTGCTGATTCTGATCAGTAAGTGTCTGGAATATAATTCATGGATGGAATCGGGTTGCAACAAATTGTGGGTTTAGCGCGTCACCTCAGATATACCATGAATGTTCCTTTCTTTCAAGCCTTTCCATGACAGTAAACGCATTTGCCTGCCGATGCGATTAGCACAATCTATACTGAATCACATGCCAGCCACTGTGGTATACCGTCGCTAGTGAACAGCACGCTTTAACCACGTTTTGTTTGTTAGTAGTCTGAAATTAGTTATATCAATATCTAAATATGGTTTGACAGAATCAGTTGGCTGATGATTTGGAGCAACTATTAAGTAGACATTGTGGTATCCTTATCGTTTTGTAATATAGCCGATTTCAAGGGTAAGTAGAAGAAACCTTCGAAGGATATGACAAGTTCGGTCCTGCTTGGAGAATGCAATAATCCGAAGTCGATTTAGCCGTATGTCTAAGTAAATGAATTAGCTTTTCTCACAAAATTTGTAAGGCTGTATGTTGTGAACCCCACCAGGATCATTGTAGGATCGCTATATCATTGCTGCATTAAGGATCGTTAGTTAGCACATAATCCAAAGTGACACAAGGTACACACGACGGCGCTGAACGTTCATCCAAAAACCAAGCCCCGGAACGAAATTCAAACAGAAATTACGAGCATTTCATTTCTTTTCGTTCGACATACATTTTGATTCCTCCAAAACCCCGCTTCCGTATTTCGTTCCTTTACTTCAGCAATCCGTTTAAAGGCAAAGTTTTCCACGACTACGAGCACGAAGTTATCTACAAGGGTGTGGTCACTGACTACCGCGGAAATGTAAGTTCGGTGCGCAGCAATCAAACAAATTCCTGATCCGTTCAACGTGTAACACAAGGTGCAACTAACATGACACTGCGTAACGAGATACAATATAAAACGTGGAGGAGATAAACCAGTATCACTATATTACCGAATGGTGAATTTAACTGAACGAGCACTAGTAATAATCCTGTAAAGGATTCTCAGGCAACCCTTGACCGGGTTTAACCCTCCGTATGCGGCCTATCAATTAGGCTAGTGAACGGCGCAGATTCTAAAATTGATTTTTTTGGACTGCAATTGAACGGTTACTGTGAATGGAATGAGTGTGAAAAACATCATTGTCACAAGAATCATTGATCATGCCTGTTTATACTTTTAGGAGGTCAACTCGGATACCTTCGTGAAAGCATTGAAAGGTGATAAGAGTCTAGAAAAACAAGGGAAGTAGGTGCTCAAGAGGTGAGTTCGCTCGCAAGTGGATGATTTTGCTGATAACACCTAGAATTCTATTGTTCCAAGTCTCAATTTGGGGTTTGCGAAATGGGTGTTAAGTAATCTCGCAAGCAAGGTGGAACATAATCTCTTTAGGTAAAGTTCCAATAATTCAGCCAAAAATATTTGCTTGTCTTCAGAGGGAAACCGGTTTATTAATTTCAGACGGTAGGCTATTATATTAACATTGTCATCAACCTCCACTCTTACCATGTTTCGAAATTATTCATATACGCGCAGTTGTGAACAGATAAATGTCTGCTTGATATTGTAAAGTTTCTCATCAGTCGATTTTGGCTTGCTGGGATTGAATGAATCAAATGAATCCTGCTGATTGGATAACCGAAATCCAAGTTCACTAGCAGTCCCACCGATTTGTTCTTTAGCGGTCCGTTAAATCCGTATTACCACTCGATATTAGTCCTAGCTATTAGGATAACTGTTTCACTTTAGGTTCCATGCGGGTTGGTAACGACCTAGTTCATTTTTGAGATTGCTGCAAGCCTTTGTCGCCCTGCCATCGCGAGATGAAAAGCGTCGGCATACAGAAACAAGCCAGGAAAACGGGCAAATTTTGATTCACTTGCAAACCAAAAATCTTTCCTCCGGTCAGTTATATAGCGGTTAGATTTGGAACTGTGGCGCAATCCATAATCTCTCGCTGTTCGTGCGGTTTGATTTACCTGGGCTTCGTACGTGGACCTGGAATACATTTTTCTGCACATGTCCCCGGTTTCCGCCACTCACGATATATCGTCTGCAGTAGGGCAGAACCCTTCTTGATTGAACAGTTTTTGAGAACACCGATTGTTTGTCCTTATTGCGGAACTTTATGTCAGTTATTGGTCTGTTCTGCTTCAACTTTGCTTAAAGAAACTTGGCGCCCCGTATTCGTGTCAACGGCCATTTCAGAGCAGTGGTCATGTAGCTGTCCATATGGCCATTTGTCTGAGGTTTTGTTGGTCTTGAAGTGAAGAATTCTTGCATTCACAATGGGGTATGGAGTTTTCTCTGCTTGTCAAGAATATTATATACTTCTGTAGCATAATAGGTTTATAGAAAACTGTATTTTCGTAAAAAATATCGTTGAACATACTTGAAAATATGTTTTGTTAATTGCTACATTGTGAGTCCAATAGTTTGTATTTTGGAACTTGGATGTTGTTCTACGAAATTTAACCCAGATGAGATCAACGTTTTCTATCCAGTTCCATTAAGGTGTTCTACATATCTAGTGTCTAAATTAACCGCAATGTGAATGAAGGACTTTCTAATCCTGAGCTGATCAAACTCAATGTTCCCGATCCCGTTTGTAGTTTGTTGGGATATCGAAAGAAAGCAAAATACACTTTGGAATAGTTAATCAAAGGCAACAAACAGCTTCGCACAATGAAAACAGTTTTATTATCAGAGGGAATGTCTACTCTATTCAAGTTACACCTCAACAGGGATTCCGAATAACCAATGATAATGAACTACAGAAATACAAGTCGTATCAAGAACGGGCAGACAGCGGCAACTGAAATCGGTGGCCGATCAATCCGAGGTTACACAAGTGGTCCTTAGACAAGAACTATTCGAAGCGGCAGTCAAACTCAGGAAACAAAATCTAAACGCCAGACAGCCGGATAACTCCCAGTGAAACCACAAGCATGGTATGCTCCCTTCAGGCAGTCACAGCCGACCCAAACATTCACTCACGATGTCACTTCGGTTTTTGGCGAAACATTTGCAATCTGATCACCAGAATAAGGGAACAGATGAGCACCCTGTTGATCAACGACCATCAACCAAGACATTTCCAGTTCGGTTTTAGAACAAAATATGGCTTCATGGATAACCGTGTTCAAAATGCAGATTTGACTCACCTTGGTTATGATATTTTCCCCGGTTGTGTATACATTGTATAGTTATTTTCGTGAACGGATCCAATTATGCTACCAAGAGCGCGATTATGAAAAAGCTGAGTGCCACCCTTCCAATGACAAGATGATAAAATTAGTTGAAGTTAAAAAATGCCTTCAACCACCTTCATGCATTCCAAACCATGGGAGATACTATATCGCGTGATAAAATTGCAAATCGACAGTCGTCCAAAACCCCTTTTTCATTTCCATTTTCAAGTTTCCATGCAAACAGCAGACTACTGTGAGTTACTTTAGCTATAATCACATCTCGTAGCGTGTACAAAACAACATTCTGACTTGCATGTTCACTATACTTCCACTTCATTCCCGTTGAGTGGTCAACATTTAAGCGCATAGAAATTCAAGGCCGTTACACATATATCAGCGGATTCTGTGCCATGGGCAGAAGGGGACTGTGGAAGTACTTACACCCTTCTCAGTACTTCAATCGGCAACTATCCAAGGCTGAATACGTAAAAAATCGACTTCCAAACTTGTGAATGAATCTAAGTTACTGGGGGAGCGCACCCAAGAAGCAACACTTTAAGAACACATTTAACTTCCCGTTCACTTACAGCGGTCCTGATGACAACGTTTTCCTACTCTGGCCCATGGTGTAGCTAACACTAAGTTTCCAACTGGATCAGTAAGTTTTGTCATTTTTTGTAGCCAGGCTTATGATGCACAGTTCTTTTAAAGGACGTTAAATGTTTGCGAATTAAAGTGGCTTAGATAAGCTTCTTTTGGCGCATTTTCATCCGTAGTTTCTCGCGAAAGGGAGTTATTATCTTTAACTGTCCTACATATCAACTGAAAGATGGAATAAAAGCTACGATTTTAGTATGTTACTCAGTCGAGTTTGTTAGACCTTATGTGCATCACTGGTGACTTACACCTCGGTTGATAGCTTCTCACATCTAAAATATTTTCGCCGTGTGACGCTTTGTTCCTTCTGAGCTATTTGCAGGTTGTTGGTATTGGGATGACTTTTGGAATTTTCCGATTCTATGAATATCTTCCAAAAGTTCCGTGAATTTCCCGCGTTGCCTTGCGTCAGCTCGATGCCGGAGAGTTCAACAAAATCCTCATCTACCTGCACACAAACAAAATGTACAATCAAATGGTGCTTTACATGGATGCTTGCTACTCTGGTTCTACGTTCCAAAATATCCTTCCATCAGATGTGGGTAGTAAGTAGCGCATATTTTGGGCTGCCTGTCGTAAAGATCCTGTGAAATAGGATTCCGAATTTCCCTCACATATGGTTAAAATTCTGCACTCGCCAGTATGACTGGTTAATTCTTGTTCTCTTCGTGATCCTTACATAAAGTTAGTAACTGATTTCATTAAAGAGGGTTACTCGGGGACTGCACGACACCTAGCATTCATCTGTCAATGTCACCTCTGCTGTTGAACTTGTTTCAGCCTGTTAGAAGATATCACTGTAAAATCGGTCCAAAAACTGTGATATTTGGTTTCCCTTTGCAGCAACCACCATTCCCAGGGAGATATCATATTTGTATATCATGAAAGGATCGGGGGTCTTTTATAAAACCTACACTTCCACGGATCAAACAACAGGCATACCACCAGTAACGTAACTACCCTTAACAGTTCTCGTCAGTGGTTTCGTTTGACGGGGCTTTACCAGAGAAACAAACATACTAATGTGATAATGACGGACTGACCAAACCGCGTTTGGCGAACTCCATCCATAAGTGATTATGTTTGTGGGAATTCGGGGACTTCGTCTTCCTCAATGACCTGGAGAAGCGTGGAAACTATGATGGTCTGACAAAGATTTTTCAGCGACCTGTGTAGCCTGTTTGTATTTGAGGTCTTGGAGCTTCAAGAATTCTGTGGGTTACAATGTCAGTTCGCGGATAATATAGTACAAAATTTTATAATTTTTGAATTTGATACATTCGTTCTCTTGTCCGAACCCAAAAACCGCAGTCTATGTGACAACCTCAGCTAAAGAAAGCTGGGCTTCTTTTTGTAACGGCAAACGAATCGGTAGTTTTCTAGTAACCGAATACTCGTATGCCTGAATTGCAGATTCGGAATTCGTGAGTTCTATGAAAACTGTTGCAAATAGGCTTGTCAGTTATGGATAGCTAGTTCTGCCCTAGTGAGCATGCAGTAGCGTCCTATTTGATTAGCAAAAACTCTTATTGCTTCATTTCTAATGAGTTAGCCATCTTGTGATTTTGAGTAAAAATCTTTGTGTGATAGTGGAGGCTGATGCCTTTGGGAGATGGCAAATGCTACTGACATCTGAGGACATTCGTCCCAAGGTTTTTATTTTGGGTTCTAGGACGTGTTGCTCATGCGTATTGCGAACTATATGGATGCCTTTCAGCAACCAGGGATATCAAAGAGACCATCGAAAGACTGGGTGTCATCGATGTAACTCGCCCCATAAAATGAAGACCGCCCGAATCTTACATTTTCTGTTTGGAGGTGCTAGAAATTATTCCTGTGGATCGATGACGGTGAGGATGTTGTTATCATGATGGTGGGGATGTTGTTATCATTTTTGTTTTATTTGGGCGTCAATTCGTGCCATTTGAGTCTCCTTTGTCCCCGCATATTCTGTTCCATAACAAATGACTAACATTCAAAGTTTGACCTAGCAGACGATACTCCATTCAATATATACATCCGACATTGCAATTAAAGAGATTGCTACAGGTGTCCAGTCACTGGCTGCCAAGACGAGTGTTCTTATCCGTGACCAGCCCGGATTGCCATTAACCTAGTGGTGGACAGAACCTGATATTGCAGAAGGGAATTAAGGATTCCATGAAGAGTTTCAATACTGTTGGTTTACTTCGCCTTCCAGAATGGCGTCCACTTGACCCTCCATTTGCTTGGCTAGAGACATCGAATGACATGGCGACCCAGCATTTCCAAGGAAGTTCATGCTTTCAGTATCTATCTATATTATCCGACTGAATGTCGAAGATATGAGTATCTTGTGCTAAAGGCCAGCCTTAGATTTTCCTTCTTGCCCCATTATCATTGCACCTAAATTTGAATGGTTGTACGGCAGTGGAGCACCTCCTCTGTTGTTGTTGCGGACGATGATGATGATGATGATGATGATGATGATGATGATGGACCATAGAGCGTCAACTCATTAACATGCGTTTGAATATGTTTTGTGTCCTGGAACAGCGGAGTGATCATTGATTGAGCAACAGTATTGGTCGTTCCGTCCTTCGGTTGTCTTAAATCGCGTGATGCTTTCACTGGTCATGACTACATTGGCTCCATGGTAAAATTGCGTAATCTGATCCATATGTTCCACACATTCTTCCACTGCCGTTATCTCTCACCAGCGCGCAGAATGATCTGAAAAAGCGTACACCGGTGCAACAGTACGAGGTGGTGCAAACGTGGGCAAAATTTAGTTACGTAATTAGACACGGTGACAAGGTGAGTCACAAAAAGTTACCGGGTATTCAGTTGAAAGTGAATGACCAAAGTGTTTTGGGAATTAGTGTATTTTTCGGGATGTTAGAAGTATTTCTGTTCCTCTAAAAGGTGAAGGTCAAGGTTTAAAATACTTGTTTGCGGACTTCAGTTTCCAAGCAAAGTAACTAGTACAGGCATATCGATATCCAAGCCTAGCCAGTGTCATCTATGGGATAAACAAACAGTGGCACTTCGTTCGTCATCCACAAGGAACCCAGAAGAGGAACAGATTTACACGATGACTGAAACTTCCACCTGAGATTTTATACTCAAGCAGTCAGTCAATACGTGGCCAGGTTGTTTGGTTTTCTGTAAGGAGTGACGCCGTGTGCTGTCTAAGCTACAGCATGTCACGCTGTTGATCAGTCCCTTGTAGTTCGTCGGGTACGTATTCAATTATTGGCCGGAAGCCGCCGTTTCGTCATTTCCTACTTGAGAGAGATGCGCACTTCTGCTGACTCCCACTAAAGAAGAAACAGATATACACTGCATTTCTCTTCTTCGGCATAGGTTGGACTCCCTGACAGGATGAAACTTCCTATCAAATGTGAAAGTTCTGAGAGCAGGCAGAAGCGGGAGGGCAAAATAACAGGGGTACAACCGATTGATAGAAGCAGGTCACAGTCCCATTGTGGTGAGATTCACGCTTGAACGATAGCATATGATGACATACTTACGCAACTAGCCATATAACGTGAACGATTCAGACAAATTTTAAATCTCCATGGCAATTATAACCCACATCTATGGTGAACGGGCATAAGTTAGATTGAGAGGACTAGGGTGTGTGGTTGCGAGACGTGTTTTGACAAAACATAATGGTGAAACGAGTTTGTTCAATTTAGAGTTCGGGTATGTTGAAAGCCATGGTTTGAACATCAACTGAATATATGCAAATTTTAGTAGCTGACGTGCAACAAACAAATGAACGTTCGCCGCTTCCTGAACTAGCGAGTACTACCAAGCGCAATTTCAAAATATACGCCGGCAAATCGGATACTGCACTTCAGGCAGTGTAATTATGAATTCCCTCATTGACCTGAAGGAGCACACTTAGATGAACATAGTAGTGATTCGGTGAACTTCAGTGCTGTACACCAGTGTTTTAGAAACAGTACCGCGAGTGAGGATTATTGATCAATCGGATCCTTCACCACGATAACGTTGAACTTAGGTGAAGAAATACGGTTGCGTTGCAGATCTCTTCTTTTTGTATGGAACACGA